TGTGTGAATTATTGTAATTTTGATTTCAATAAATTTGAACAAAAACGCACGATTTTTAATTATCATAGAAGACTTTACTTTAACGTTTTGCAACAAAAAATTATTTAATGTTACTTAGATCGGACGGTTTCGTAACCAAATTAGACAATTATTTTACACAATCACCTAATTTTTTATTACTTTCTTATTAATTATGTAAAATCTACTAAATTATTATAACATATTATGTAAATAATCTGCAAAATTCCCTCATTTTATTTAACGTTTGCAACAGTTATGATTTGTCGCAGATTAGATAGATTTTTAAAATAATCACCTAATTTTCTCTTACTTTATTATTTATTATGCAGGTGTGCAAAACGCATTTGTTTTCGTGCCCAAATAAGGATTTGTTTATCGTTCGCGCAGCTGCAGTTTCTTATCTATTATGCAGGTGTTCAAAACGCTCTCATTTTCGTATTGTTTAAACGTTTTAGAACCGATGTAATTCATCGTGACGCAGAGAAGAGACGATTTCGTAACCATATAAGTCGATTTTTAGAATTATCACCCCAATGTTTCATATCTTTAAATTTCTTTTCGTATTCTCACATTCATTTATATTAAAATATATCTAATACAAAAAACAGTAGAAAATGTATTAAAATTCTAATCAGTAAATTTGAAGTCTTACTATTATCACAAGATTTTACATATTTTACGTACAAAATTAAAGATTTTTTGTATCTTATCATAAAATATTTTAATGGCAAAATATACAATTTTGAAAATTGTTATTTTTGAACAAAATATTTACCATATATTGTGTGAATTTTAATAATTTTGATTTCAATAAATTTGAACTAAAACGCACGATTTTTCATTATCATAGAAGATTTAATTTAACGTTTTGGAACAAAAATCTTCTAATTCTTATTACCTTTTCATCGATTATTTAATGTTACATAGATCGGACGGTTTCGTAACCAAATTAGGCAATTATTTTAAACAATCACGTAAATTTTTAATTACTTTCTTATCAATTATGCAAAATATACTAAATTATTATAACATATTATTTAAATAATCTGCAAAATTCCCTCAATTTATTTAACGTTTACAACAGCTATGATTTGTCGCAGATTAGATAGATTTTTAAAATAATCACCTAATTTTCACTTACTTTCTTATCTATTATGCAGGTGTGCAAAAGGCATTTGTTTTCATGCCCAAATAAGGATTTGTTTATCGTTTGCAGATGCAGCTGAATCGTAGTTCGGGCATTTCCGTAACGTACGAGAGCAAAACGAATTTGTTTTCGTGCCCAAATAAGGATTTGTTTACCGTTTGCGCAGCTGCAGTTTCTTATCTATTGTGCAGATGTTCAAAATGCTCTCATTTTCGTATTGTTTAAACATTTTAGAACCGATGTGATTCATAGTGACGCAGTGAAGCGACGTTTTCATATCCATATAAGGATTTGTTTACCGTTTGCAGATGCAGCTGAATCGTAGTTCGGGCATTTTCGTAACGTACGACAGCAAAACGAATTTGTTTTCGTGCCCAAATAAGGATTTGTTTATCATTCGCGCAGCTGTAGTTTCTTATCTATTATGCAGGTGTGCAAAACGTCACACCTGTGAAGTGACGTTTTCGATTTTCAATATAATCACCAAATTTTTCTTAGTTTCTTGCAGCTGCATTTTAGAACCCTAATGTTTCATATCTTAAAATGTATTTTCTTATTGTATTCTCATTTTCATTTCAATATATCTAATAATAAAAACAGTAGAAAATGTATAAAAATTCTAATGACTAAATTTGAAGTCTTAATATTATCACAAGATTTTACATATTTTATATAAATTATTAAAGATTTTTTTTATCTTATCATAAAATATTTTAATGGCAAAATGTACAATTTTGAAAATTGTTATTTTTGAACAAAATGTTTGTCATATATTGAGTGAATTTTTATAATTTTGATTTCAATAAATTTGAATTAAAACGCACGATTTTTCATGATCATAGAAGACTTAGTTTAACATTTTGCAACAAAAAATCTTCTAATTCTTATTACCTTTTCATCGATTATTTAATGTTACGTAGATCGGACGGTTTCGTAACTAAATTAGACAATTATTTTAAACAATCACCTTAATTACTTTCTTATCAATTATGCAAAATCTACTAAATTATTATAACATATTATGTAAATAATCTGCAAAATTCCCTCATGTTATTTAACGTTTTGCAACAGTTATGATTTGTCGCAGATTAGATAGATTTTTAAAATATTCACCTAATTTTCTCTTACTTTCTTATCTATTATGCAGGTGTGCAAAACGCATTTGTTTTCGTGCCCAAATAAGGATTTGTTTATCGTTCGCGCAGCTGCAGTTTCTTATCTATTATGCAGGTGTTCAAAACGTCTCATTTTCGTATTGTTTAAACGTTTTAGAACCGCTGTGATTCATCGTGACGCAGAGAAGTGACGTTTTCGTATCCATATAAGGATTTGTTATAACTTTTGACTTTTATGCAGCTGAATCGTAGTTCGGGCATTTTCGTAACGTACGACAGCAAAACGAATTTGTTTTCGTGCCCAAATAAGGATTTGTTTATCGTTCGCGCAGCTGCAGTTTCTTATCTATTATGCAGGTGTTCAAAACGCTCTCATTTTCGTATTGTTTAAACGTTTTAGAACCGCTGTGATTCAGTGCAATGTAGAAAACCCGATTTTTACAATAAAATTATAATTTGTATTACTTTCTAATTGTTTATGTAAATATAAATTTCTCAAATTATTTGTCTGTTTTATTAGTTATTCAAATTAATAAGATTTTCATTGTAAAACAAAGTTTCCATTTGTTTCTATTTCTATTTCCACGGATTGTATTATTTATTTATAATCTTTCTGTGTTTATTTCTCTTGTTTTTTTCATGTAGTGAGTGGATTTATGTGTGCATCCAGTGGCAAATCATGAGACTTAGTTGTTTCTCTCTCTTCCTCTTTCGGAAATACAAACTTTTGTTCGATGTTTCTTTCTGCTCGAGGCACAGCTGGACTCCTTCTGCCCTCGGCCAGTCATCCAAGCACTCCTTTCCACTCTCTTAAGCACGAAAACTTTTTAGATAAATACAAATATATTTTTCATGGCACCACTCGAACGACTTCACCCCACGTTTTATTTACAACTATACGACGTGCCCGCTCAATGCATACAGTCAGTTCTTCCTTCTCATCTCAATTTATTCACTATTTATTTACACATTTCACACTTTAAATATATACATTTCTTTACAATTTTTACATAAATTACAAATGATTTACACATTTACATACTAAAATACAAGTTATTAAACAATTAGTTAGGTTTTTTTTAACAATTTTCCATACATTTCTTTAACTTTTAATTAATTAATTCCACATGAAACAATTTCAACTCGTTTCTGATGTAATGTGATGTACTTTGTCTTTTACTTGTTTATATTTTATCAGTGTAGTTTGATCATTGCATCAATCTGCAATATTTTTTTATTTCATTTATATTTACCCAGAATTAAAGCTTATTATTATTTTGCTTGTTGTAAAATAATAAAAAGAAAAACTATTTTCAAAAGTTTACAACATTTTCATTTACATTCTATTATTACATATATATCGAAATTGATTTTCAACAATAAATTATGAATGTGCAACAATGTTTAATACATTTTTGGGGGAAAAGTCATTAATTATATTTGTATTATTATTATTATTATTACCATTAAAACGCACACATCACCGTTACCATTTGCAAACATAAAATATTTACCAACAAATACGGAATGCAATTAAAAATGAAACACGAAATGCAGTCGGTTCTAATAAATATTTACTAAATATTTAATGATATGGACGCAGGTCTAATTGCAATATAATTTCAATACTACTTGCGACATCTGACGCAACTTTAGCGTAAATTTCTTTTAACAGCGACACCTGTTAAGTAATAGAAGAAATAAAGCGTTACATAAGTGATCAATTTGTAGGCATCTGCATTGAAGTGTTTAGGAAACTTTATGTAAGGTTTAAGTCTACAATATTGTAAATTTGCACTATAAATAAACGAATTTACTGTTGTGTAATTACAATATTATTGTTATTATTAGACAATTTTAAGATTGTATTGAAAAATTAACTATTAAATAAAAATTTTGTGTTTAGGAAACTTTTTATAAGGTTTGAGACTCGAATATTTCAAATTTACGTTATAAATAAACGAACTTTAAGTAATTAAACTATTATTTTTATGTGTAAAAAATATTAAAATTGTACAATTATACTAATTAATAGAAAAAATTTACATTTTTTTGGTTGTTTTTCTAATAATCGATTAAACCTATTACATTTAGGATAGTTTACGTAAGGTTTAAGACTAAAATATTAATAATTATTAATTTGTGCTGAAACTAAAGGATTTACCAAAACGCAATTATAAAATTATAAAAAAAATCTTAAGGTTTCAGCGTTTTTTAACATCATTTTTTAACAAAAAGACAGGAAATATAAATTAGTAAAATATTCAAGCAATTCGACATTGAAAGTGATTCAGTTGAAAATCGATATTTAATGATTTCATTAATAAATACGAATTATCGGTATCAGTAAACTAATTAAGAATTTGTAAACACTTAAGTACACATATTTCGCTTTGTTTGAGATTGTTTTGTAGGAGATAAAGACTAATACTGCATCGGTAGTAAATAGTAATTGCATTTAACTATTAGAAAGTAAAAGATTCGTAAAGCCATAAACGTTTATAATAAACCGAAAGAAAATAATACGTAAACAATACCGATACTTCTTTCGTTTATATACAGATTTTGCAAGAAAGCTTACCACCACTCCTAATCATTAAAATTTTAGCAATACTTTGGAAGGTTTTCCAGTGAAAACAAATCGAGATAAGATTAAACCGCCTTTGTTTGCACGTGAAAAAATCATTGTCGGTTAGTTGTGCAGTCGGAGAGAAATAGGGAACATCGAAGCTCAGCTTCGACCAAAACCAAAAAAAAAGCACACACAAACGATTACACGAAATGTCGCTCTAAATTGAGAGAATCTAGTCATTAACTTTAGTCTGATATTAGAAGAGAAAAAACAGTACTTATTACAACATTTCGGAATAGACGCAACAAAATGGGAAACGAAAAGGAAAAAACACAGAGTGAGTATTTTTTTACATTAAAATTTTACAAATTACTATGATTTATTTGGAAAATAACAAAAGTGAGTATAGAAAAAAAACAGCATTGAAATTATGAATGTAATGAAGTAAAATCGAAATTGAATTTCGTCCCTTCGCGATATTTTATACGTCGGGAATAAACTTCCCAAGAATCATTAAATCAGAGGATTTACGGTGCAATCTTCTACCTTAAACTTAAATTGAAAAATATCGATTCGAATCATATTTCTTCATATTATGTAAACTTAAATATAAATTTTCTCTAGAAGTTAATCGATTTTGTCAATTAGAATTTCATTGATTTTCACTAATTTTTATTTAGTAAACAAAAAAAAAATTACTTATATTCCATTGTATAATATCGATTAGGATATTTATAGATATATTTTGTAATTATGTTCTTTTTTGTTGTCCTAATGATAATTGACTTTTATCATCGATAAGTTCGAGTTTTATTAGCTTATTTTACTCGCGTTTTACTTTAGTCCTCCTTTTTTTTCTATTTCTTCTCTCATTCAAATTGTAGCGAAAGATTCGATCTTTATCTACTTTATTTATTGATTTGTAGATTATAATTTCGCCTCTACCAAATTACGCAATCGTCGGAGCGCCGCGTAATCGGCGCAGAATAATTGAAATGCATCATTGAAATGTAATACATTTCGCGATTAAAAATTTAGTTACTTTATCTTACATTTTATTAATCAAGAAATTTACAACTCTTAAGAGAAATCATCTGACTATAATGGAATGAAAGTTTTGTTTACTTATTGAAATTTACGGATTCATTGTAGACTTATAAAGATAAGCTTGTTATTTTCTTTGTTACTTTATATAAAAATATTTGTTTATCGTTTGAATTGACTAAATATTATCATCTTTGTACTTATTATTGAAAGAAACTTTATGTAGAGTAAATAATTAATGTACTTGTACAAATTTACACATGTAGCAAAATCGTGACCGATGCAAATGTGTAAATTGTTTTTTTTTCGCAGGAGACAAAAGTTGTAAATCATCTAAAAATGCGAGAGAACGGAAAAATTTGCAAAACTTTACGTAACATTTCTCAGTTGTGATTTTGTGTGCAAACATCTAAGAGATAACAGCTTCATAATCATCATCGTACGTACATTGTGTTACTCCTTGTTGTTGTTGTAATGGAACAAAAGGAATCACGTGTAAACAAAGTCGTTTCGGTTATCAGATACAATTTGTAAACAGAGTCGGATTAAGGCGAAACGAGTTTTCGGAATCATTAAATTCAGTTCTTCAAGGACAAGCAAATATCACAAAACCAATTGATTTAATACATTTATCTAAAATGTAATTAAATTTACAATTTTGGTGAGAAAAAAAAAGTTAGATTTTTTTATTATTAATTGTTATAAAACGTAAGTCCATAAGCGTTTCGTTTACTTTATTTTAAATTTGATAACAACTTTTCTCAAGTTCATTCAGGATTAACGCTTTTTTATAAAAAAATAAGTGAGTTTTCAAATTTTTATATTAACTAATATTCTTTAGTTTATTTCTTGAAAAATATAATTGGTTTTTCAGGTGAGGAAACAAAATATGTACATTTACAATTTGTAAAGAATCTATTGAAAAACGTTGATTTATAGAGTAAGAAAATCTTTAAGAAAGTGAAAAAATAAGTATTTCTGCTATTTCTCCCAAAATATTTTGAAAAAAATGTAAAGTTTTCTAAAAATTTAACAATTTATTTTCAAAAAATATAAAAAAAACCTTCATTTTGTATCTCCAAATACCCTTGATTTTCTATCTAAAAATCTAAAAACTCTTATGAGAAATGAGCAAATTTTTAAAATCAATACATTTCTACGATTCCCAAGGTGAGAAACAAATGTTTCAATATTAAATTATAAGTAAATTTTGCAATTTCACCAAATTATATCAAAAAAGAAACAATGAAATTTCTCATAAAACCTGAGTTTATTATCAAGTTTCATATCATTATTTTTTTTTGTAAAATTATTGATATGATTTCAATATAGAATACAATTATATAATAATTGCAAACAGTTAAAATCTATTGTCGCTTTTAAGCTTGAGCAGATTGCACACGTATATCAACGTGTTCCATCGGATTTATAATCCTGTTGAATAATAATTGTGTTCATATAGTGGATTCGTTTGCGCAAATATTTACAATGATGCACACAATCGAAACTTGAATGCGTTTTCGAACAATGCACAACTTTACATATCGCAACAAATTCAATTCCAATCTCATTTAAACTTTGCTAAAGCACGTACAAAATGTATGGAATGTATTTACTGCTCTGAAGCTAAGTGAAATATCTGTACTTAAGTAATATTTACTTAATTGAAGAATTCATTTCACTGTTTTTTTTACATTTGAAGTAAAGTGAAAGATTAAAATTGTTGTTGGAGGCCGCAATTAAACAATGGATGATTAATAGTCTTATCAAGTCAATGAAACGTGTGTAATCATTTCGTATTTACATAACACATTCTTAACTCGTTTTTGTAGATGTGCTGTTGTTAAGTGAAAAGCTAATCAATTTATAAAATTTACATTGATTTTAGTGCAAAAAATCAGGTTTAATTATTGGAAAAAAACAACAAATTTAAGTAGAAAGTTATGAGTAAAGTGAAGTAAAATATGAGAATTAAGTTACAAAAGAAATATTTGACAATTTTGTATTGAGAATAAAATTATTCAAGAAATAATATGTAGAAATTGAAATGAAAAAATAAGTTGAAAATGTAATTTTGTACACTTTAATTAATGTATATAAGAAACACAAAGTATTGTGTGCATATTTATGTAATTACTAGCTACTTCTCGGCGTAATTAGTTTACACATCTAATCTATTTACATGCATAAAACTTAGAATGAGTTGAATTAATCTCGTTTAACGTCAGGTAAAAGTTGTACATCAATTAAGGAAATCGTTTAATCCAATGAACGATGGGCGTTTGGGCGCAATAACAGCATTGTGAACAAACGAACGCGGATTATCGATGAATTCGTACACAAACGCACGCGTCGAATGCAATTAAATTACGGAAATTTCCGTACGTCCTTCCGGTTTACCGCGTTTCTGCTAATCGGATTACTACAATAACAACAATAACAGCCCAAAATAAACCCAAAAATGAATATATGAATTTGTAATATCACAAGCAAATTGTAACAAAGTTGCAACATTCAAAGCTTCTACAAGATTTTTTTTTTGAAAATTTATGATTTAAATTTTTTTTAATAATAAAAAACGTAAAAATTCAATAACAAAGTTGAAATTGTTGTAAATTATGGAAAGAATTTAATATAAAGAATTAAATTTGTACAAATTCAGTAAAAAATCAAGTTGCAATTTTCGTAATATACATTTTTCTCGACATTTATAAATCGCGTAGGCAATCGAGATAATCAACACGAGACAATTGCAACGCGAATCGAGCACAAATTTAAATGACGATAAACAATTGCGTCCAGTGTTTACTTGATTTAATCACTGTTTCCATGGTTACCTTATTTATCGATTGCAATTATCTAGCGAATCTTAATGAACAAATACATAGCTTTCTCTGATCTAGTTTATATTTAAACCAAAAAAAACTTGAATTCATAAAATGTTAATTTTCTTTCAGTTTCAATTCCAAAAAATAAGCAATGGATGGCGACGAGGGACGTTCTCTGGTATTTAGTCTTCTTCGGATTCGCAGTGAATTATATGATCCGAATTAACCTGAACATCGCGATCGTTTCGATGGTCCAGGCCAGACCAAAATCGAACATTTCGAGCGTCGAATGCTTCACTGAATTATCGCTTAATGAGTCTTCGATCAATGGAACGGAAAGTGTCGAACAGGTAAATGTAAAGGTAATTTTCATTTGAAGTATCATCTAATTCGATACGATTAGATGCAGGAACCTGCGGATGAGACGAAGTTCGAGTGGAACGAGAAGCAGCAGGGTTTGATTTTGGGTGCCTTCTTCTGGTTGCATTGGGCCACCCAAGTTCCCGGTGGTATTCTTGCTGCAAAGTATGGAACGAAGATGATCTTCGGCGTCTCCAATTTCGTCGGAGTTCTGTTCTGTTTCATAATGCCGTGGGCTTCATACATGGGACCGGAATACTTGATCTTCCTCAGAGTCGTACAAGGAATCATCACTGTAAGTATCATTTTAAATTACATCATTGCATCTTTGCAAATCTATAATGTACAGTTCTTGAAAGAAATAGTTTCATCTAATAATAAAGTTTTAAACTTCCATAATTTGATTTGAGTACAACAAAAATTACATTTCTTAGAACAATAATCTATAAAAGATTAAAAAATATGTAAGAATTTCAAACAATTATAACTTAACATAAGAAAAATTGATGAAATTATTTACAAATTTCTCATTGTTATTTGAAAATTTATAATTTCACTTGAAAGATTAGCAAGCAATAATAAAAAGAAATACAGCAATACTTCGATCAGTGCGGATCGAAAATTTCAAAACAAACATAAAAACTCTTTTTGTGCTGTTTACGTTCTCGATTAGTCCGGTTTCAAACAGTATTAATAATTTTATATATTTTTTTTTAATAAAATAATTAGACAATTTAAATCTCTTTAAATTATCTGTAATATGCTTCAAATTAAACTTAATTCTTTACAAAACTTTAACAAATCCAGCAAAGAATATTAATTTAATTATCTCAGTTTCTCCATTCAACTTCTCGTTTATTTTTCTTTCTTTCTTATTAAATTATAAGTTAATAATTTGATGCTCGTTAAAAAAGATGAGTGCGTGTTCGTCGTAATGATTATAAAGTTATAAAATAGGGTAAACATTTTATTATAATTAAGAGAAGAGCGCGTTCTTGAATGCGTACTTAATATAAAATGAGTAGAATTAAAAAGAGTTGTTGCGTCGTCGCCTTAAGGAAAATTAAGTGAATTTTCTTTTGGACTCGCGAAAACATTCATTAAGTGCGTTCGTTCCAGGAAGAAGTAGAAATTAATTGGACTCTGCATCTCGAGATAAAGAACAAATAAAAAAAGTTTGAAATATTTAATTAAACGCATTCAATTGATTGCCTTTGGGCGTATATAAAACGTACAGCTTTTCGGGGATTTATGCGGAACAAAGTGTTGAAAATCCATCCGCAAATACTGGATGAGTAATGAAAAAAAAATGAAGAGAAATAACAACAAAAAACATCAAGGATAAAGAAAGTCAAGGAGAAAGCTCCGGGTTTTTAATGAAGAACCGGAGCTTTCTTGCGTGTTTTAATTACGGTTAGATCCCGTCCAAAGTTCAAAGTTGACCTGAAACAATTTACCGCCTCCCTTTCTAAACCCCGCAGGATTCGACCCAGTTTTCATCCGTTCGCGTGTCCTCTTCTTGACTTTCGCGTCGCGCTTTTAATCGAAAACCGAACGATTGATCCTGATTCACCCCCTGCTCAACAACATTATATAATAATACAGCCAATCAGAACACTCACTAAAACTCATTAACGCTGTCTTCCTCCTACATAGAATTAAACAAATCTCGATCTAATTCAAATGTATAATTTCGTTTGTTTTGTTAATTGCGCAAAACTAGTTTTGAGAATGTAAAGATATCATTATGAATATTTTATTTTTTAATTGATCAAAGTCGTCGTAACAAAAGTGCGCAGTAACAAAAGCGCCAAGTAAAACAACGTTATTTCTAAAAATCAGAGAGTCGAACCGTAAACCGAAATTAACCAGATTTTTTAATTGAAACGTAACTGTAACCGGAACGAAAAATTGCTGAATTGAAAAACCGGAAACGGAACGAAATTTTAATTACGGTTTTTTTTGTTAATTGCACAAAAGTAGTTTTGAGAATGTAAAGATATCATTATGAATATTTTATTTTTTAATTGATCAAAGTCGTCGTAACAAAAGCGCGCATTAACAAAAGTAAGTAAAACAGCGTTATTTCTAAATATCAGAGAGTCGAACCGTAAACCGAAATTAACCAGAATTTTTAATTGAAACGTAACTGTAACCGGAACGAAAAATTGCTGAATTGAAAAACCGAAAACGGAACGAAATTTTTAATTACGGTTTTTTTTTGTTAATTGCGCAAAACTAGTTTTGAGAATGTAAATATTTCATTATGAATATTTTATTTTTTAATTGATCAAATGCGTCGTAACAAAAGCGCCAAGTAAAACAACGTTATTTCTAAAAATCAGAGAGTCGAACCGTAAACCGAAATTAACCAGAATTTTTAATTGAAACGTAAATGTAACCGGAACGAAAAATTGCTGAATTGAAAAACCGAAACCGAAACGAAATTTTAATTACGGTTTTTTTTTGGTAATTGCGCAAAACTTTATTTTTTAATTGATCAAAGTCGTCGTATTAGAAAAAGTCCATACATTAAATAAATACAATTTCTTATTGAATTAAACAAATTTCTAATGTAAACGAAGATACTTAGAATTAATTAATATTAATAATTAAAAAACTTGATTTTTCTTTATAATTTGAATATTTTCCATAATTCAGTGGATTTGCTTAAAAAAGGTCCTCTTGTTGTTTTTCTGTTTTCCATCGAGTTCCCATTAAAATTTAGAGCCCAATTAGATTATTTTTTGTTTTATTAATTTTATTCTTTTGTTTTATCCTAAGGGTTTCGCCTGGCCGGCGATGCATCACATGACCGCACGCTGGATTCCGCCGAACGAGAGAAGCAAATTCGTGACCGCATATTTAGGTAAGTGCCTTCTCCTTGAATTCGCAAAATCAAACCAACCGAAAACCATTCGTCTGACTCAAATCAAAACCATGTGATTCCATAAATCTTATCCTGCGGTGGTTTCCCATCCTTCTGTCATCATCCTTCATCGCAGGACAACATTTAAAAAGTATTAATCTCGCAGCGAAATACTGAATTGCAATGTCCAGAAGTTTGCAGAAAGCACAACTAATTGCATTCCATTTAATTAATTTTCTCTCTCTCACTCTCTCTCTTGAATGTGCGCGAGATTTGTTACCGAACGTAGAGCTAAAACACGTAATTATATTTTCCCGCTCGGCCTTGCACTTTATCAACAACATTTTTTCCGTTTTTGCAAACAGCAAGAATATTTAATTAATAATGCTGTACACTTTACATTTAATTTTTTCATTTTAAATGCATAAAGTACAACTGAAAACACGTGTTTGTTTTCATCGAAACTTCATTTTTTTTCGTTGAAAAATAATGAAGCTTTGTTTGTTTGCCAACAATGTGTATTACCTTTGACGTTACTGACATTTTCATACAATGTATGGAAAACGTGTGCAATTTATTAATAAATAAATATCGAGTGAAACGAAATTGCAACAATCCACACATTGTTTCATAACACAATTTTTATTATATACACGTCAAAACATAACTTTTACTTTGTCAATATTCAGAGTATTTTAAAGGAAACATCACAATTCTGTATTTATTTTTCAACTTTTAAATTTACTAACATTTTAATGGCACTAAAACGTTTGTTGTTCTATCAATATCAGTTGAAATAAATTTAATCAAAATAATAACGGTTCTTTTATGACATTGATAAATATTAATATTTCAAAGCATACTCAGTTATATTTGTTTTCAATAATATAGTAAAAAAGACGGAATACTAAAAAATATGTATAATTGTTAATATTTTTATAAATTTGTAAAAAAAGAACAAAAATCAAATAAGATTATGAAACAATGAAAATTCGAAGGAAAGTAAAATGTTGCTGTAATAATAAATAGTTATTATATAACAAAATTTATCAATAATCTTATATAATAGAAACATTTAATGCACAAATAAAAAGTATTGAAGAAAAAAACGATTTTAAAATTTAAAAAAATAATTTTTTTTAAATGAAAAGTTTAAAATGATGATAAAATTGTCTACAACAAACAGAGAAATTTTCATATAAAAATAGTAAATTTTATTAAACTTCCAATTTTCGTACTTATTTAAAAGTTTTTTTTTCTCTTTATAAAATAAAATTTAATTTCATACATTTTTTAAGAACAATTAGAAAAATCTAATAATTATTCTAATTAAACTTTAATTACTTAAATCTCATAGAAGATTCAATGAAACTAAACAGTTTTAATTGATGGTTAAACAGAGATGAAAATGGAGAGATTCTCATGAATAATAAACCTCATTAATCAACTCGCATTATTCTTTCATTTAATCTCGAGACTTTGACACAGTTTCACACTGAAACGGATCCAATTTTCAGCGATAATAATTCATTTCCGAGTTAAATCTACCTCACGAATAATCCTCCTGTTTTGTTTTTTGATATTTTCGACATAATACCGGAGATTTGAGTTCCATTTTCACAAATAAAACCCAAAGAAAATACAATACGCATTTCATTACTAAAGCTTCAAATGGATATAAGAAAGTATGTAATACCCGACGCATCCACATATTTACTTTAAAATTGTAACAAAGCTTTCGTTCATACAACATTTTTTTAATTATAAATTAGTTTTTGTATCAATATTTCAACGTTACAAATAAAAATACGATTCTCGTATTTAGAATGAATATAAAAATCATATCCACAATACGTAATTTACTTATATTAGTAAAAAAAAGGCCTTTTGTAGCAAATCAATTCAGTTTTACTTTTCGTATTATTTTAGTTGCATTATTGAAATTTTCATTTTTATTTTTAGAACTATTTAGTAAACTATTAAGTATTATATAAAATTATGTTTTTACGTTAAATTTTGTGATGGAACTAAGAGTGTTAGAAAATGTAAAATAAAACAAATTTGTAATTGTAACTATAGTTGCAGTGTAGTTGCTGGTCTTACGTCTAGCGCAGACGGTAGTAATTTATGGTTTAACGGTCGGATTTAATTGGTGGAGTTCAAATGATTGATGGTTGCAACGTATGCAAAGTTAATTTCGCACGCGAAAACCGTAACTTGTCCGATCAATTCAACAACGTTACAATTTCTTTGTTTATATTTCAGGCAGTTCGGTGGGTGCCGGCATAACGTTCCCCGTTTGCGGTTACATCATCTCCAGATGGGGCTGGGAGGTGGTTTTCCACGTTTGCGGCGTTGCCGGATGCGTATGGTACACGGCATGGTACTTCCTGGTCTTCGATTCACCTGCTGAACATCCGAGGATCAGCGACGAGGAAAGGGAGTACATCGTCAGGAGTTTGGGTCGAAGCATTTCCAAAGAAAAGGTATTTATTAACAACAACAATTTTAACAATCATACTTCTTTTCATTGATTTTCTCGTAAACTATAATACATACAATGAATCCAAAAGACGCATATGAAAGCTGAATGTTTGGAGAATCTAACAAGTATCGATATATTACTGTAGTTTTAGCCGTTTGGCTGTAATTCGTATTCAAAGTTTAAAAAATGCTCGAAAAAGTGTTTTACATTTCATTGATTTATCTCGAAAACTTAATACATAGAATGAATCCAAAAGATGCATATGAAAGCTGAATGTTTGGGGATATAGCAAGTATAGATACATTCCTGTGCTCTTATCCATATTGCTGTAATGCGCGTTCCTTTTATGAAAGAAGGCCAAATTATTACATACTTTTGAGGGAGGCGTAGTAGCTTCAAGTTTGGAAACCACTGTTCTAGACTGTTCAAACTGATAGATTGCTTAGATAATTCTTAAATTTATTGAAGTCAAGTTGTAGTGCTGAGGTGTATAGAATATTTCAAAGCAAGAGCGTTCAGAAAATCTAGGTAAACTTTGTCCTGGGGAAACCTGCGAGTTGGAGATTCTTCTCTAGATAATTTATGAAATTAATTAATAGAAAATTTGCTTTTGTTTGAGGTATTCGGGTGGAAAGTAAGTAAGTTTGCCTAGAGCCCGAAGTTTATTCGTGAAGGCGCGCGGTGGTTGGAACGCGGAAATGCGGGGTTGTGGGTGGCTCTGCGTATGGAAAGGTGGGTTTCATCACAAAAGGGACGGTGTGTTCTTTGAGCGAAATGTTATTCACTTTAATGAAAAACTTTTCCAGCAAAGAAACGAAGACTTAAACATCAAATATTACCATATTTTTCAGTTGGATAATTCAATCAATTTGACCTAAATTGGGCTATTTAGTTAGACGTTATGAACCAGATGATTGGAAATAGAATTTCGGTAAGCCTAGAGAGAGAACAAAAAAAAAGCGATACATACTACAAAAGTTCCATAATTAACAACTCTGTGATTCATATTCCGTTTGCATTTTGTGCTCGAAATAGCCTATTTCCTCTGCATGTGTGAGTGAACAAAAAATAATAGAGCAAAATGCAAAAACAGAGAGATGAGAATTAAAACTGGGATTTATTATTTGCGTATTTTTGCAAATCAGCGAAAATATTTTAATTAAATTATATCCACAGCGAACGCAAAAATTAGTCTCGCATTTTTTGTTTTAATTAATTCTATCCTATGTAAAACAATATTTTTGTTGTTTTTTTCTTCTTTAGTTTTAGTACAAACGGATATTTTAATCCGAGATAGATGAATGGATCTGCTGATGGTGGGATGGGGAAAACGGAAATAGTCCAGATGACGTTGTCAAAGCTCTGTTTCCGGGAACAAAATCAATAAGTTCCAATGCAATACTTCATCCACGATTATGTCTTTAATATCGTTTGAAATATTGAGTACAATTTTTTTTTATCTCTCTCTCTCGAAACGTTTGAATGCCTTCAATATTTTATGGTCGTTAAATCATTCTCGAGTGTCAAGAAAAATCTAGATTTTATTAAAACCTATATTACAATTTTTATTTACATTTTTTTATTGAATACTTTATTTTACAATTTTGTAATAGAGGTAAGAATACGTTGTTCGTAATCTTTACTAATTAATTATGTAATATCATTTCGTTGATATCCAGTATAATAATTTGGAGATGCTCGGTTATATGTATAGGAAAGGCATATTTCAAGGGTAGAAACATCTAATTCCACATCACAGGTAGTCAATAATACAGATAGTGAAAAGAGAGACGGATAAATAGAGAACTTAAAGTATAACAAGTCTGAGACACAAGAGACAAGACAAGATATCCTTACCAGATATTGAGACACGAAAGAAGAGAAAAGAGAAGGATTATAGATATGCTACACCTTTTAATACCCTAATAAAATTATAAATTTTGACAAAAATTTACATACATTTGTAAATAATTCAAAACTTTTTAGTACGAATTAAAATAATTACTAAATTATATTCATGAAAATTGAAATATTTCAAATGAAAAATTAAATAAATATTTGGAATTTTGTTTGTGAATGATGAAAGATTTGTTCCGTTTTCTTGAATCGCTTTGCTATCTGATGTATTGTACTTTGAGTTTCCCTTGGTACTAGGGAGACACGGATTTAACGATAAAAAGTGAACGCTGGGCGGAAGGGCTTAAATGGAGAGCCCTGAGTAATTGAAACTTGGTTCCCGAGAGTCCGCCAGGTCTCCTCTGTCTCTGCAGAAGAATACGTATTAATCAATCAATGTTGCTCTAAACAACGTGAAGAAGAAGAAGAAGAAGAAGAAAAAGAAGAGGAGGAAAAAGGAAACGCGCATCCGAGTGGCTACTAGAAAAACTAACCGCGATTCCCTTACAAATTACTTACCAGCTTTTTCTTACAATCACAATCGTTTAATAATGATACTGATTGCACCTTCTGATGATACTAATCACTAATACTAATTACACTAATTATGTATTTATGTTTTAACACATTGTCCATTTATATAAACTGTTCCATTTCGACATGTTTATATTTGATATTCGCTTTTGTGCAGCCGATGAAAATACGTTTGATTTCAATTGTGAAATAAATAATGGACGTATTTTCTGATGTGAATATTCATTCATATTTTTTTCGCAATCCCTTTGTGGAATTAAATAGATGATTGATTTGTTTGCAATGCAATACACTCGTTCAAATTAAAATATATTGATTACTTGTTTTTATTTATGCAAAAATATATTTGAAAAATATTTATATTAATTATTATGAATATCCTTGATTGCCAATCCAATTTAAAACGTGAATATTCTACATACGCTTTTTCAATAATTAAACATTATTAACAATTTATTTAATTAAAAAAAAATCAATACTTTAATTACGAAAATTATTTTAATTTTAAACGTCTTTTTACAATAACGCCGTTGTGAAATAAAGCTTATTAATTGCTTATTTTACACTTGTATAGAACTAAACCTTATAGTTACCTCACTGTAAATATGGGTTCATTTTACGACGATTCGATTTGCGACGGTTTTAGTAGGAACAGAACCCCGGCGTCAAACTTGTATATTAAAAAAAATATGCAATATAAACAGGTGAAATTAACTTTATATAACAAACTACATGTTTTTTTCCAAATTCTTTCAATAATTATTAATAATAAATAAATATTGCATTGAGATTTTTGTTTTATAATCTTATATAATACCAAATCGGTTTTTGAAATATTCCCATGAATTAGAACTTAAGCATTCCGATCAAAACTTCGCGATTTTTGTTCTTTCTAGATTTGTTTTTTCTATCCATGTTGTGTGTATAGAAAAAATAAGCAGTAATCTTGATACATCATTTCGTGGCGTTACGCGAATGAAACATTTGAATAATTCGCTCATAAGCATTCTGTTTTGTGCTGTATTTACCGTTTTCACCATAAAACCGATCATTTATTCACAGCCTTGCGACATCGTAAACTTCCCTACATAATTACCCACGATTTATTTCAGTTTACATTTATTTTATATTTTTCTTTACTTGATTTACAAATACAGGTATCCCCCGACTTACGAACAAACAAGCTTTTAGACTCTAAATTATCCAACAAATAGAGCCTTGAATAAGCAGAAAGTACAATTTCGAAACAACAATTTCGCTGTCTGGTCATGAATGCTTTGGCAAATACCTGCACTTTATCACAAAAAAGGAAGACGAAAGGTGTTGGTACTGTGAGAAGGACGATAGCCCTTTGATACCCTTTTAGGTACAGCAGATGGAAACACTAGGCAGAGGCAACATTGGGAGTTCTACTAGAGCCAGAAAATTTTGTCAGCGAAATGCCGAAGAGTGCAGAGCAGAGCTGAGATATTGTAGCAGCATACTTAACAGAGGTGTTACTGAGTAAAGAAGAAGACGAGCGGAGGTTGCAGAGAGCCTACGAAGATAATGGTAGTGGAGGCCAGCACTAACATGATCCAAGAGAAGTGCCAAACAGGCAAAGACAATCAACATCGCAGAGTAGTACGGTGATACAGGTCCTGTATACTGACGATGAAGAGGAGGAAAGAGGAGATATAAGCGATAAAAAATAACTGTCCAAAAAAAAATTGTTAATTTCTTTAATAAAATAATAATATTTTTGGAAGATGTACTTTCTGTTTTGTTGCGTTTGTTTCTTTTGTCGTTTTTCATTATATAATTGTGATGCCTACATTCAAAATTATGCATTCAGTAATATTGAATTTAACATATATAATAGTAAAAACCATGATAAAATGTGTTAAGATAAGTATATTTTGAAATTTTTAAAATTATCCCGACTTACGAATAACTCTTTGGAACGTAACTAGTTTGTAATTATATAATTTTTATTTATTATATAATTGTTGATCAAATCACCGTTTCTCAACATTATTACCGCACAAATTGTTTTATACAATTTTTTTTGACACTTGACGTAAAATGACAGCTGTCATTTCGCAACTTGTCTAATTAACGCAACCACAAGAAGAGGAGGAAAGAGGAGATATAAGCGATAAAAAGTAATTGTCCAAATAAAAATTGTTAATTTCTTTAATAAAATAATAATATTTTTGGAAGATGTACTTTGTGTTTTGTTGCGTTTGTTTCTTTTGTCGTTTTTTCATTATATAATTGTGATGTCTACATTCAAAATTATGCATTCAGTAATATTGAATTTAACATATATAATAGTAAAAACCATGTTAAAATGTGTTAAGATAAGTATATTTTGAAATTTTTAAAATTATCCAGATTTACGAACAACTCTTTGAAACGGAACTAGTTCGTAATTAGATAATTTTTATTAATTATATAATTGTTGATCAAATCACCGTTTCTCAACATTATTACCGCACCAATTGTTTTATACAATTTTTTTTTGACACTTGACGTAAAGTGACAGCTGTCATTTCGCAACTTGTCTAATTAACGCAACCACAAGAAGAGGAGGAAAGAGGAGATATAAGCGATAAAAAATAATTGTCCAAATAAAAATTGTTAATTTCTTTAATAAAATAATAATATATTTGGAAGATGTACTTTCTGTTTTGTTGCGTTTGTTCCTTTTGTCGTTTTTCATTATATAATTGTGATGTCTACATTCAAAATTATGCATCCAGTAATACTGAATTTAACATATATAATAGTAAAAACCATTATAAAATGTGTTAAGATAAGTATATTTTGAAATTTTTAAAATTTTAAAATTATCCCGACTTACGAACAACTCTTTGGAACGTAACTAGTTTGTAATTATATAATTTTTATTAATTATATAATTGTTGATCAAATCACCGTTTCTCAACATTATTACCGCACCAATTGTTTTATACAATTTATTTTTGACACTTGACGTAAAGTGACAGCTGTCATTTCGCAACTTGTCTAATTAACGCAACCACAAGAAGAGGAGGAAAGAGGAGATATAAGCGATAAAAAATAACTGTCCAAACAAAAATTGTTAATTTCTTTAATAAAATAATAATATTTTTGGAATATGTACTTTCTGTTTTGTTGCGTTTGTTTCTTTTGTCGTTTTTTCATTATATAATTGTGATGTCTACATTCAAAATTATGCATTCTGTAATACTGAAATGAACATATATAAAAGTAAAAACCATGATAAAGTGTGTTAAGAGAAATATATTTTGAAATTTTTAAAATTATCCCGACTTACAAACAAATTCGACTTACGAACGGAACTAGTTCGTAATTATATAATTTTTATTAATTATATAATTGTTGATCGTTTCTCAACATTTTTACCTCACCAATTGTTTATTATACAATTATTTTTTTTGACATTTAACGTTAGGTGACAGCTGTCATTTCGCAACTTGTCTAATTAACGCAACCCATAGGTTGAGTAATGTTGATCTATAATAATCTATGAAAACTCATGATTAATTCTAAATCTATTTAATTAATTAGTTTGTTGAGATGAGATGAAGTCCAGAACTAATGTTGTTGGTAAAGCAATATTTTCTCGTTGTCCGAAAGGAATGCCTTTCAACAACTAGCACATCCACTCATGGAACCCACTAAGCCCATGTTATTGCAGCCATCCTCTTCAGGATCTGCTCCTTCCATCCATCCTTGAGAAATAATGCAGTCTTCTCTCAAGGTAAGAGACATCAACCCAACTAACCAAACTAACTTAGTGTGCGCTAACCGGAAAGCAAATATGGACTGTAACGAAAGAGAAATTAAATAGA